CAGAAAGAAAATGCGAAACATTGTATCATTTTTGTAGCTTAAGTATGAAAAGTCCTCCTCAACTGCAACAAAAATAATGATTGTTTTATTTTATGTAGAAGCTGCTGTGATAGAACAGAGTAACAAAAATTTCAAACTGTTCTTCCGATAAATTCCTCGCTAAATATTTCACGTTTGAGAAATAAAGTTACGTTTGATAGCGAACACGACACATTGTTTGAAAATAACCAAAGAACTGACCTTATAAAGGAGTTGCGGGTTTGAAATGAGCAGTAGTTTTTTTTCGGCAAGTTTAGATTTTCTTTAACTGAGGTAGGCATGTTATAGGCCTATACTTCATTGCGATGTTTTTCTTCATTGTCATCCATTCCAGACTTTTTAGATTTATAACTGCATAACACCTACACTAATTTTTTTTATTGTCCATTTTTTTAAAAAGTTTTATCCAGTCATTTATTTACATTGACTGCTGTCCTCATCTTTATTGTCATATTCACGATGGTTCAGCTGTTGTACGCTCCGGCCTTCGTCAAGTTACAATAAAGATGAGAACACCAGTTCGAATAATATAAATAATGTATGTAATTACAATACCTCATTTCAGAATTATAGACAGTCCTGAAGAAGGCCTTGGCGTACAACGACCGGAATGTCGTGAATATGGCAATAAATAATCAATAATAACAATCTGGACAATAATAAAATAATATAAATAATTACACTGCCTCATCTCAGTTATTTTTTACTTATTTATTTATTTATTTTTCCACAGTAAGACTCACCTATGTACACAGGCCGGGGGCTACTTGAGGTAGATGTTTACGTTAAGGGGTAGTTTATATGAATAGGAGGGGAAGATCGTGGTTGACTCAAGACTTTAATTGAAGATTCTGGCGGTCTGAGAATCATACACTTGGGAGCTGTTCGAGTGGAACTTACTCCTCGCAGATGGAATAAGGAGAGACCGTCGGTGGTTTGCTACTATGTAAGTTGCATGCGGATCCTAGACGTGATTGTTAGTCCTAGTACTTTCCCTGGTAGTAGTGTTAGAGCAGTGAGAGACTCGACACATCCCGCTTCTGAGAAAGACATGGTGGGGGGGACCATGACTCAGAGACGGTTTTGAACTCTATCACGACTGGAAAGTGAGGTCTAGCAAAAGTACTCCATTTTAGGCCTGATCTGGCTCTTGTAAAGTTAGAGGATACCATGGGGAGTCAGGTACTTACTGGAGCGGTAGAGGGAGCCGATCATTTTACCTGGATCTTTAGCATCGGATATAGGAGTTAAACTTGAAGTCGGGGGTGAGTTTGAGGCCCAATATGTTCTCAAGACCCGGGGCCTCTTCGAAGAGGCATCCATTCATCGTGACTGGAGGTAGTTCAGGGTCTGATCGGCGGTGATGAAATGTAAGCAGTTTGGTTTTCCAGGAATTGAATGTCACCGGCAATCCCCCCCCACTGAGATGTTAGTGTTAGATGGGACGAAAGGTCTGCTGACAATCTCTGATCGTCAAGATTCTTAGAGGTGCGTCCGTATATCGTCGTATAATCGTTTCTATAGGACAGTAGTTCGCGGGAAGATGCTGTTTGAGTGGAACTTACTTCTCGCTGGTGAGATATGGAGGGAATGATGGTCTTTGTTACTATGTATGTGGCAAGGTGGGTCCTAGCCGTGAAGGTTAGACTTTACGGAACCAGGAGATGAAGTTTGCCCGAGCACTTTCCATGGAAGTAGGGATAGAGCAGTGAGAGACTCGCCACAACCTGCCTGCGAGAGAGAGAGAGAGTTTGGAGGGTAGAAAATAATTCTCGAAGACAATTTTGAACTCTAGCAAGACTAGAAAATGAGGAATGGGCAGCCCCCGCCTAAATATGGCAGTCGTACTCCATTTTCGGTCTGATCTGGCTCTTATCAATGTAGAGAATATATGAAACGTCAGGTGCTTACTAGAGCGGTACAGGGAGCCGATCAATTCATCTGCATCTATGGATCGTATATGAGAGTTATACTTGAGGTCAGGTGAGAGTTTGAGGCCCAATATCCTCTCAAGGCACTGAGCCCCCTCGAGGTGACATCCTTTCATCGTGACTGGCGGTAGTTCGGGATCTAATCGGCGATGACGGAATGCAACTAGTTTCGCCTTCGAACCATTGTCGGTAACCAGACAATTTTCCCCACTGTGAAATTAGTGTTAGATCGGAAGAGGGGTCAGCTGCTAATCTCTGATCGTCAAGACATTTAGAGGTGCGCCCGTATATCGTCGTATCATCGGCATAGATATTTACAAATGATCGGTGTGTATTTGTAGGTAGATCATTGTTGTAAATCTGAAAGAGAACTGGTCCGAGAAGTGACCCCTAGGGAACGTCTGCGTTGAACCCTAGGACCTCGGAAGACTGGCCGTTAATAACTACCTTCAGAGATCTACCCTTAAGAAGGATTTTATAATTTCCAGCGATTCCATGCATGGGGTGCTTGTATAGCAAACTTTTGTGCCCGAACTTGTCGATGACCTTAGAGTTATCTAATGCTATGGTCCTTGAGGGGTTTGTGTGTGTCGCCAATGGCCTTACTCATTCTTTCAAATAGTAGTTAAGACATCAGCAATGGATAGGGCTGATCAAAACCCATACTGCTCGCCGCACAAGAGGTTTTTTCTATTTAGGTTCACGACGATATTTAAGGCATCAAAAAGCTTACTGATTACACTGAGGCGACTATACTGGAAGGGCGAGACTTGGAATACTCTTGGGATCTTCCAAAGGCTTAGGAACGATTTCTTCTTCAAACAGCAGTTAGATAACTTTTCTGGGATCGGGATAATTCTTGGTTAACATTCTTAAGACGATAACTGGGATTTTGTCTGAACCAGTAGCTTTTAGGCATCGAGGTTTCTGATAGGTCCAGAGACTTCTCTTACTGAAATCAGCATATTACTGAAATTGTGTTCAGTTAGACGTATTAAGTTGGGGAGGTGATGGCCTTTGTCATTTAACGTTGAGTTAGCATTTTTTTAAAGCAACTCCTTTACTTGAGAAATTTTCTTTCTCAATTTTAGAAGACTTCTTAGTGGATTTTTTCTCTTTCTCTTCTTTTTAGTCGATAAATTTTCTCTTATATATTGTTGTTGTAGGATCCACCTAATTTGCATAGTGGAGTACCGACCATATAAATATGGTTGGTACCGGGAAGAGAGGGAGGAATCAAGAGATTCAATCCAGAGACTCTGCCCGACTGCGACTCAGTCAACACATTCTCCAGGAACGGTCTTACCAGGAATATAAAAAGACTATATGTAAATATTGTGTACACTTTCTTTTTCAATACATTTTGTGCTAAGTACATTTTGTGTTGCATTATTATTCCATGCATTAGTCAAGTTTCAACATATATATATATATATATACATATATATATATATATATATGTATATATGGCTTCGTCTTCTAGTTCTTTGGTCGATCAATTAGCATTTTCTTTTTTATATGAGTATTTCTTCTTGCACTTGTTTAGTTGGTACATTTACTTTTTTCTTTATTTTTTAATACGCTCAGTTCTTGTTATTTGATTGTTGAATTTTCATTCCGTTTTATTAGACTTTTTCTCGTTTTTCAATAGATAAATATACAACCCTTTTAATAGCATCTGTTCTCTTTTTATTTTTTGTTTTTTTTTTGTCGATATATTTCATTATCTTTTTTATACAAGACTAACTTACTTTAATCGATTAATTTCCTTTCTATTTGTAAAGGACGTCTTCTTATTTGATGGAGACTGACTTTCTCTTTTTTTATATACGGTCTGTCCTTCTATAGTCGATAAATGTTAGTTCACTTTCTTTATTATCATTTTTATACTTCTTGATTAAAGTTGAGGTTTGATTCTCAAATAGAGTTTCCTAATCTTCAGCACCTTCCGCAGTATTCTCACCAATTTTACCACTCTTGTTGTACACTGTTTATATCAAAGAGGATATGACCTCGGGACCATTTATGGGTGCAGACGCTTTGTTTATATTCATAATTTGGTTGGTGATCTCCCAGATTTCTGAAGATCCAATTTGCTTTCAACCTTGGCCTGGAAAGCACGCTTGTAGCTGCACTTTGCTCTTTCCGAACTTACAGAGATCGTGGGCGGTTCTGAAAGAAATAAGGGCCCGACTACACCGTTTCTTGCGATAGATTTTAAAGTAGTGACGCCGGTGAGCTATGGCTGCAGGGTATTCAGGGGTGAAAACGTTCTATGGAATGGTAAATCAGGGGATGTCATTGGTTTGGAATCAATCGAGAACACAGCCTATAGAATGGTCTGAAATGACAGTAGGTGCATGGAGGGGAATTTTTGATGATCATTTGACAGCGCAGGATATTAGAAAAATTTACGGAGAATTCGCCTGTTGTCCCGTCGCATCCGTGTCTCGGGTGGGTTGTTCAATGATCTGGGTTAGTCCATAGATGATCGAGAAATCTCTGCACTAAATGTCTTCCTCGTCAGTTCTTTTAGTGTAGACTAACCACTCAATATGAAAGCTGTGGGAAATTAAGCCAGGATATTGTCAATCCTGGAGACGATACAGGCCAAAGACGAATGTGATACGATGTTTAAGTGCCACGCGGAACACATGTCGGGGGATCATGGACCTCGTTTTTTGTGTCTCTGCCACAGAAAACCCGTCTTTAATGTAGGCATCGATTTTCTGGGATGAGGGGTTGTCAATATTTATATTCCTCATTTTTGTTGTGATGTTATATAATCATATTATGCAACAGTTTAGTCGCGATACTGTCCCGAATTTTTAAAATGGTCATAGCAAATTCAAGGGGAAAACCGGGAAATATTCGCGAAATTATCAGCTACCATCGTCCATAGGTTATCAAAGGATACATAGAGGTACTATTTCAACAAAACAAATTTGTTCAGCATTCACTGTTATATGAGACGACTGATATCACATTGCAGTTCAAGACTAAACAAGAGCAAGAAGAAAATTATATTTCTTATAGTTTCATTAGATAGATAGAGAGATAGATAGATATGAACAGACTGAGATAGATAGATAGATAGATAGATAGATAGATAGATAGATAGTCTATTTATAAGATATCTCTCTCATTCTGTTAAAATCCATCTATGAGAGATAGATATCTCGTATAGATGGATTTTAATAGATGAGACACATAGATGAAGTGTGATAGAGAAGTAGATAGATAGGTAAATAGATAGGAACTGACTGAGATAGATGTTTAACACAATGAGATAGATAGATAGATAGATAGATAGATAGATAGATAGAAATGACCAGACTGAGATAGATATGAATAGTGTTGTGGATTCCGTGAATGGAATCCTGCACAAATAAATAAACAACGCCAGTAATTGAGATAGAAAAATAACTGTATTAAACGTAAGAAGTGAAGATTAGTAGTCCAGGAATGCGGGTTAGTAGAAAGTATATGCACAAGTCTCTGTAAGTAAAGCCGTAATCATCTCTCTCTCTGGACTCTTGTATAACTCTCTGAGAACACCCTGTGTCTGTCTTCGTATCTCTCAACCTGTCTCAACGTATCTCCACGTATCTCGATATTTAACAGTCCACCCACGAGGAATGTATGAGGTACAAGTCCAAATTGAACGTGGGTTTCTCCGAGCCCGTAGGCTCAGCCAAAAAATATCCCCTTTCAACCCGCATAAGCGGGTTCGGTATCTGTCTACCTCCCCGGACGAATCATTGCCCTTCGCCAAAGCCTCGTCCGGGTTCCTCTCTGACAAAGCAGAGTGTTCGACAGACGTCGAACACAGTCAGAGACTGTATCGAGACGTATCTCGTTATTCAATATCCCACCCACGAGAAATATATGTGGCACAAGGCCGAGTTGGTTTCTCCGAGACCCTAGGCTCGGCCAAAAATGCACCCTTTGAACCCGCCTATCCGGGATCAGGGTCTGTCTACCTCCCCGGACGAAACCTTGCCCTACGGCAAAGCTTCGTCCGGGTTCCTCTCTGGCAAAGCAGAGAGTTCGTCAGACGTCGAGACTGTATCGCGACGTACCTCAACTCTCTGTCAGTATAAGTATACTTTGGACGAGTCCATCTAATGTAAAAAGGGGAGATCCCCTCAACACCCACCACCTTACCTTCTTTTTTGTGGGGAGTTAATATTTTTTTGCTTATTGTCTATTATTAGTGGTCCCGTGAATTTTCTTTTTCGGCTTGTTCTTCTGATCTCCGTGGTTTTTGAATTTCAAAGGCTTTGAAAATCGCCTCCATCGCGTCTTCATTTTCGGAAGGTGACGAGTTTGGTTCCTCTACCCGTCTTTTCTGTATCTGATTTATGTGTTTCACCTTGGATCGTGTATAGAACATTCCCAAATCTGTTTATTATCGTACCTAGTTCCCAGTATGCCATATTATTCTTGAACTTTCTGAAATAGACCCGTTCACCTGGTTTGAAGGATCATTTAGGCATTATCGGTGTATGCCGGTTTTTATTTTAGCTGGGTAATAGTTTAACAAAAGCAGACCGTATTTTGCTGGCAAACATCATTTCAGCTGGCAACAAGCCAGATGCTGTGTTTCCGTTCGGGGTGATTCTGTAGACTTGTAGGAACTGTTGTATGGCTCTTTCTGTTGGTATGTCCTCTGCGTTTTTCAAGGCTCTCTTAAGCGTGTCCACAAACCTTTCGGCTTGCCCGTTAGATCGTGGATGGCGTGGTGCTATTTTCATATGATGACTTGATAAGTCGCACAGAATTCTTGAAAGTCGCTCGAGGTGAATTGGGTACCATTATCTGTTACAAGGCAATCTACAACGCCGAATCTTGCAAATAAATCGTGTAGACAATTAGTAGTGTTTTCCGCCGTAGGGATTTTGTATCTGAAAACTTCTGGCCACTTGCTAAAGCTATCTACCGTTATCAAGTAGTAATATCCATCTCTGGGTCCTGCATAGTCCGCAGGGATTCTAGACCAAGGTCTGTCCACCTTAGGATATGGTTTTTGTATAATAGGTGGTGCCTTTGTTTCCGCAGCACAGCCTCTACATTTTTCTACCATTTGAGTAATGTCGTTATTCATATTAGGCCAATACACGAAACTTCTCATTAACGCTTTCATAAGATTTTTCTCTGGATGTCCTAGCTGATAGTCCTTCAGAATTCGTCTTTTAAAGATTTGGGTATGACCACTCTTTCATGATAAAGTAATGCGTGATTACAATTTGAAAAACCCTCCGATAGATTTCTTTCTTTTTTTTCTATTTTTCTTTTTGTACTTTGTATGAATTCATCCATTTCAACTTCTCTTCTGATTTCTAATAATGTCACTGGTAATTCCCTTACTGTATTGTTTAGAACTTTATTAATTTCGTCTTCGGCTCGCAAAACTGCTATTACCGAGTCTTCCAGAGGTTTGCATTTCGCAGGTACCAATCTAGATAATCCATCTGTATGACCAATTTTCTTCGACGGTAGGAACTCTAGTTTGAAATTATAATTCAATAATATAGTTCCCCATCTCAGAAGTTTGTTGGCTGTGGAAATTGGTAGTTCTTTTTTTCGATCCGAATATAGTGAGAAGAGGTTTATGGTAAGTTTAAAGAGTAAACTCTGTTCCATATATGTATCTGTGGAAGCGAGTTATGGCGAATATTATGCCTAACGCTTCTTTCTCAATTTGCTAATAATTCCTCTCTGCTGGTAACAACGATCTAGATGCGTGAGCTATAGGTTTCCTTGTGCCACCCTGCATCTTGTGTAATATTCAAGCTCCTACTCCGTGTGAGCTTGCGTCACTCGCAATGATAATTTCCAGTTTGGGATCAAAATGCGTCAGTGCTAGATCAGACGTTAATTTCTTTATGATCTCCTTAAAAGCTTTCTGACAATCTTCCGTCCAGTTCCATTTGTTATCTTTTTTCAATAATTCATTGAGGGGGGGGCTCAATTTGTGCATGTTTCCAAGGAATTCACCGTAATAGTTCACTAGACCAAGAAAGCTTTGCAACTCTGCGACATTTTTCGGCTCAGGCATATTTTTTATTGCAGATGCCCTATCTGGATCTGGTTTTCTGACACATTCATTGATTATATGGCCTAGATATTTGATTTCTTTTTTTTTCTCCTTCAATTTAAAACCAAAATCCTGAATTCTTTTAAAGTCTTCTTTAATATGCGTTGCGTGTTCTTCTACATTATCGCTTTTGATTAAAATGTCGTCTAAGTAAGCAGTAGCAAAGTTCTGTCCTATGAGCATGGTATCCATCGTCTGTTGAACGATTGACGGTGCTACTTTTATCCCAAATGGCAATCGGTTAAATTTGTAAAGTCCTTTGTGAGTATTGATACATAAAGTGTTTGTACTTTCTTCTTCTACTGGAATCTGAAGATAAGCGTTGCTTAAATCAATCTTAGAAAATACCTTACCACCGTTAAGCTTGGTAAATATTTCCTCCGGGCTTGGCAATGAATAGGGATAATCCTTGATAGCCTTATTTAACCCAGTCGAGAAATCTGCGCAAACACGTGTTTCTCCGGATTTTTTCTTTACGTAGACCAATGGTGCCGCCCATTCACTGAATTCGATTTTTGAAAGAATCCCAGTTTGTACCAATCTATCTAGCTCCTTGTCAATTTTTTCTATGGTTGCGAAAGGCACGTTTCGCTTTTTCTTGAATACTGGCTGAACATTTTCCTTTAGTTCAATTTTAGCTGCAAATTTATTACATCGTCCCAAACCGCTCGAGAATACTTCGGGAAATTGCCTGTGTAGTTCTTCTTTTAATTTTGTGGCTTCTGACGTTTCTCACTCTATTTTCTTAAAAAATGAGCAAATGGGTAAATCCCATACGTCAAATTTTTGCATACCATCCGTGCCCACCAAATTTTCTGTGTCTTTCATTACAAAGATCTTCAATTTTTTCGTTTTACCATTTCGGGAATTTTACGTTTAGAATTACTGTGACGTCACCCCGGGGTCGCTGCGCCAAATGTGACGTCTTCCTGTCCGCGCCCGCCGTGCTGTCCTGGTTGCGGTGCCAATTGTGACGTCACCCCGTCTGTCTCCGCGCCGTCGCCGTCCTATCCTGTCCCGTGACGACCAATGTGACTTAATCTCTATCTTAACCGAATCCCATCTGGAGTTCCTCAATCGATACTTTTCGCCAGCGTCAAGTGGGTGGTCTAACTGGACGTATTTGCATTCCGTCGCTAATTAACTGTTCCGATAAAATAGTTTTTTTTTTCACATGGCCAGGTCTTGACATGAACCAGGTGCCTTTTCCTAACGACATCTTTGTAACTTGTAACTTGTAACTTTGTTTTTCGGTCAGTGCGTGCTTAATTAATATTATCTCTTAGCACTCTGTCCCGTAGGCCACTCGACCAATTTGAATCTTTCCTTATTGCCATGGGCAGATGGCTATATCTTATTCGCCGCCCCGTAACATAAATCCTGTATTTTACTTTCTTCTCTAATGAGAATAAAATCTTTACTACTTTTCCTTGTTAGAAAAAAATAACATCGCTCAGTGTCTTTTCGTGATAGATTCTTATCCCCTAATTTAATTCTCGCCTTTTTTTCTTTTTTCACGCAATCCTAAATAGTGTCACAATACTTCTCCTTCAAAAATGATACGCCTCCCTCAAATAAACTTAGCAATTTTCTGTGTATGCATCATGGTCGGTCTATTTAGCTTCTTCCATGTCTTCAAATTAATTATAATTAGATCCGATCCTGAGTCTAACAGTAATTTTAGCTTCTTATTTAAGATCTTGAGTTCTATGTATTTTCTTGTGTTTATTTTGTCTTCGTAGTCCATTCTAGTAGTTCTTACCCTACTAGTGTGTTTTTTTATTTCTGCTCGGAGATGCCTTATCTCCCATTTTTCCACAACTAAACAGTTCTTATATTTAAATCGACAGTCTTTATTCCAGTGAAATCCACCACATCTGTAACATGCAGATGGGGGGCGGCTTATATTTGCTTTGATCTCTGTCATTAATCGCGTTATACCTTGTAATTTTTTCTTTATCATAAAATATTTGTTTTTCTTTCGATGGGGATGAAAAACGTAAATTTTTGTTCAACTTACGTATGTGTGTTACTCCCGATTCCTCGATGTCCTTAGAGTCTTTTTTTATGCTCAAGCATTTTGGCCATTCTTCTTACAATTTTTGTAGTGTTAATCCAGGCTCGTTTTGAAGATTCGTGAGCATTCTTTTTCGCATTTCCCTGTCCTTGGCTGAGACTAATCGAAAATAAGACACTTAAAATTGTCTGGTGTCAATTCTGCCAATTTAAAGTCATCGTAATGTTTGTTCACAATTGCGGCGAACGTGGAGTAGCCCTCATTTTCGTTGTTTACGAGGTTGAGACATTTCCACCTTTTGTGAAAAAGTGAAGTCTTTGGACTGAAGAGCTCCGTAAGGCATGTAACTGCCTCGTCATACGTCTAATCGTTTGTCTTTTTCGGTAGAATATAGTCCACAAATTTTGTGTATTCTTCTGTTCCCAATTTCCTGAGTAATAAATGTCTTCATGACGTCTGCAATAGTTCGCGAAATTTTTATCATCTTCTAGAGAGTATTTAAATGTTTCTCTTGCGTTCCAAACTGCGTCTTGGGAAAAAGCCGCCTCTTTTTCAATATTCTTCTGTTGTGCCTTTCCTCACTTCATATTATATACTCAAGCATTGCTTTTTGAAAATCTTCCATTTTTTAGGGAGTGACGAAATTTTTCTTCTGTCTCTTGCGTACGTTCTTTTATGTTCGTCGTTAATTTGTTGTTCTCTGTGTGAGTTCCTTTGAGTCTTGTCGCCAAGTTGTTTTAGTCGACGTGACTCTCGAATTTCCGTTTTGTGTTGGCGAACGAAAAAAACAATTTTTTTAAGTCCCCGTGAAGTGCGAAATCCTCGTCGTCAAGTTGTGGATTCCATGAATGGAATCCTGCACAAATAAATAAACAACGCCTGAAATTGAGATAGAAAAATAAGTGTATTAACGTAGGAATAGAGACTTGAAGTGAAGATTAGTAGTCCACGAATGCGGGTTAGTAGAAAGTATATGTACAAGTCTCTGTAAGTGAAGCGGTAATCATCTCTCTCTCTCTCTCTCTCTCTCTCTCTCTCTCTCTCTCTTTCTCTCTGGACTCTTGTATAACTCTCTGAGAACACCCTGTATCTGTCTCCGTATCTCTCAACCTGTCTCAACGTATCTCCAATATCTCAACAGCAAGTATTCTCTCTGTCAGTATAAGTATACTTGGGACGAGTCCATCTTATGTAAAAAGGGGAGAGCTCCACAACAAATAGATAGATAGATATGAACAGACTGAGATAGATATGAATAGATAGATAGAACAGACGGAGATAGATAGATAGATATGAACAGAACAGTTCAATACTCTTCTTTTTTTTTTTTTTTTTGTATTCTAACGAAATTTTCCTGTCGCTTAATACTTTGCTTAGCTTTCGTATGTTATGTTGTGTTATTCCAATGCCTCTTTGAATTTCGCTGTCGCATTTTCCGTACTCTGTTGAAACAATTCCCACTTCTATAGTCGAGTAATTTATTTACTCTTTTTTTAATAGAGCGAATCCTTTACTTTAGAAATTTTCTTGCTCAATTTTAGAAGACTTCTTAGTGGAAGTTTTCTCTTACACTAAATCTTTTTAGTCGATAAATTTCCTCTTTTTTTTTTTTGTCTATATATATATATATATATATATATATATATATATATATATATATATACGGCTTCGTCTTCTAGTTCTTTGGTCGATCAATTAGCATTTTCTTTTTTATATGTGTATTTCTTCTTGCACTTGTTTAGTTGGTACATTTACTTTTTTCTTTATTTTTTAATACGCTCAGTTCTTGTTATTTGATTGTTGAATTTTCATTCCGTTTTATTAGACTTTTTCTCGTTTTTCAATAGATAAATATACAACCCTTTTAATAGCATCTGTTCTCTTTATTCTTTTTGTTTTTTTTTTTGTCGATATATTTCATTATCTTTTTTATACAAGACTAACTTACTTTAATCGATTAATTTCCTTTCTATTTGTAAAGGACGTCTTCTTATTTGATGGATACTGACTTTCTCTTTTTTTATATATACGGTCTGTCCTTTTATAGTCGATAAATGTTAGTTCACTTTCTTTATTATCATTTTTATACTTCTTGATTAAAGTTGAGGTTTGATTCTCAAATAGAGTTTCCTAATCTTCAGCACCTTCCGCAGTATTCTCGCCATTCTTACCACTCTTGTTGTACAATATTTATATTATTCGGACTATAGACCTCACCTCTGTTGCCATATTTATCACAACGTTTCCGTCGTTGTACCCTCCGGCCGTCTTCAGTTGGTTGGAAAGTCCAAGTAAAACATTTATTTCGCTTGCAGGAGTAGACTGTTCTAGTTCCATGTGCCATGTCTAATGGACGTCAGTTTTCAGTTATCTCCTGTTACTTCACCTCTCCATGTTCTCCATTGCCTTATCCAGGTATTGAATTTGCAATGTCACGGGATCTAACCAACGCATGTATCCACTGTGCCATGTGCCTTTAAGGCACCTAGAACTACAAATATCTACCCCAGCGAGCGTTCGACATTCCAACCAGCTGAAGAAAGCCGTAGCGTAAAACGGCCGAAACGTTGTGATAAATATGGCAACATACATGAGGACAATATTTCGAATAATGTAAATAGTGTAAATAATACCTCATCTCGAGAAATATAGACAGATACATTTCTTTGCATGTTAAAGGAATATCATGAAAGTTTTAATATATATATATTATGAAAGTTTTAATTTATATATATATGTGTGTGTGTATAATATGAATAAATGTATGTATGTATGTATATATATATACAAACATATTATACACTTTTTTAATATTATATATTTAAATTAAAACTTTCATGATATATATATATATATATACATAAATATATATATATATATATATATAGTCCTTTTTATATATATATGTGTGTGTGTGTATGTATATGTATGTATGTATATATATATATATACAAAGAATTATACATATATATATATATATATATAAATATATATAAATTAAATATCTATATATATATATATATATATATATATATATATATATATATATATATATATATATATATATATATATATATATATTTATATAGTTATATCCTATTTAAATATTCTTCAGTATCGACTTAGGATTTTATGTCACAGTCGATAAAATGTTATTAGATCCATAAAGGCCCAGAGTGTTGTGAGTTCAATTTTTGGTAATGGCAGTGGAGAACTTGGAAAGCTGAAAAATTAAATATTTGAAAACTGGCAGCCATTAGACATGCCACGTGGAACTAGAACACTCTTCCCACTGCGAGCGAAATAAACATTTCAACCATCAGAAGAAGGCCGGAGCGTACAACGGCCGAGACGTTGTGATAAATATGCCAACAAAGATGAGGACAATAGTTCAAACAGTGTAAATAATATACATAATACCTTATCTCAGAAATATAGACACTCTTGTTTTATAGGTGTACCTGTTTTGATTCTTTTGATATTAATTTTTTTTATTCTTCTTACGTCAAATCTTCGGTATGCTCGAGTGTGGTTCTCCGTTCTCTTGTATCATAATCTTGTCATTTTCTGTTATTTTTTTTTTTTTTTTGCGGTGGGCGGGGGGGGCGTGCAGGTGAACTATATCGTTGTAGATTCCTCGTCTTTACAAATCGGAAAAAAATAACGACCGAAATGTTTTGTTAAAAAGAGGTGACACCAAAAGCGGCATAGTGAAATAGACATCCGAAAACATAAAAGAAATGTTCCATCATAAATACGAAGACATGTGTTCACGGTCGAGATAGATAGATAGATAGATATGAACAGACTATATATATATATATATATATATATATGTGTGTGTGTGTGTGTGTGTGTGTGTGTGTGTGTGTGTGTGTGTGTGTGTGTGTGTGTGTCTGTACCCCTCACAGAGAGGTGGATAGATCTGAACAGACTGAGATAGATAGATATAGAATAGAATATATATATATATATATATATATATATATATATATATATATATGTGTGTGTGTGTGTGTGTGTGTGTGTGTGTGTGTGTATGGCCCACACAGAGAATGGATAGATCTTAAACAGACTGAGACAGATAGATAGATAGATAGATAGATAGATAGATATGTACTGATTCTGAAATATGAAACACACACACACTGGCATATATATGGAAAAAGTGATATATAAAAGAGAGATGATGAAGACAGAGACTGAAAAGATACATACATAAGCTCTAATATATATATATATATATATATATATATATATATATATATATATACAGTGGTGATTATATATATAAAACAGTGGTCATTATTGTAAAGTATAACGTAAATCCATACCTAAAATAATGATTTTACTCTAAATAAATGTATAATTATTAATAATCTTGAGCACGAAATTAAATATCAAATTTAGATATTTTAACATTAATTGCCATAACTCTATAAAAATAAACATTTATTTAAAAAAAATTAGTAATTCTAGACAAAAAGTTAACAGAAAGCCAGATATTTTTGTTTTTTTTTTCCACAGTAACACTTGTATCTATCTCGAGTTCGTGTTTGTATATATGCCTCCGCGTTAGTGTGTTGACGTATCTCTGTTCGTATATTAATGAATCTCTGTGTCTGTGAAATTTATTGTATGTTTAGGATCTGTAATGCTGACTGATATCATATTTCCTCAACACTAACCTAGTCACACACTCACCCCAACTCATCACTCGACGAATTAAAGCACTTTGATATTCGCCGAATTTAAAGCCGAGCTAAATTTAATTTGCCTTCTCAAAAGATACATTACACTAAAAAAATTATACCGTACGGAATAAATTATTTAAAATAAACATTTAAAACAATAAGTTGAAATGCAAATGTATCCTTTAAAAAACAGGGCATACAAGTCTTTAGAGATTTTTAAAAGATTATTTATAAAATTAAAGTAAAAAGTACATTGCCTATTAAGTATGTCTCCAGCTTCGATCGGGCTCAAACCTACTCAGCCCGATGAAGCACGTTATTTCTATTTCATTCTTCGTCTCATTCCTTTGTTTGTTGTTCTTTCTTTGTTTTATTTTTCTTATTTACGAACAATATCAACGGAATGTGTTTCGGTCAATATTGTGATGCACTAAGACAGAGATAGGTCGATAGATTTATATGAATAGAAATCGATATGTTTGTACAGATAAGGCAATGAAGTTATGTAGATCCATGGTGACCCGCGTAATCAGCGCCTAGAAGAAGAAGAACTAAGACAATCGGCGCGACACAATCTTCATCAGGATATTCTACCCATTTGTATCCTACGAAAGTTTAGTAAATGCGAAAAGGAAGGAGACGAACCAATTTCGTCAATGCAAAAGAAACAAGTTTTTTCAAAAAACATGAAAAAACTGGAAACTAAAAATGAATCTCAAACAATTAATGCCTGAAACAATTTGAAAACACTAACAAAATAATTATAATCGATTAAAAAGAAAAAGAATGTTTTTTGAAAATATTCCTGTACTTTATTGGCACACATTTCTGTTTTGTTTTTCTCATAAAAATCGATGGCACAATTTTTTTTTGTTTAATTCTTTAAAAGCAATTTCCTTTTCCAATTTTTTTGTCCACGTAATTTTATGTCCAAGTTTCTAAAAACAAAACCAAAATGAAGTCATAATTACTGTCAGCCTTTTATTTAAATCGCATTTCCTTTTTAGCAATCTTTTCTTTTTTAAATTAATTATCATTAATCTGTTGGTGGAGCAGTAGTGACCATTTTGGTCAAGACAATAAGAAAAAAAACATTTTTTTTCTTTTTTACGATAATTACCCCACCACTCTTTCTCTCTCTCACTCTCTCACTTCCTCTCTATTCCTATATCCATCTCCCTCTCCCTTCTCAATCCCTCTCTATTTTCTCTTTCATCCCCTCCTTACACATCTTCTCATCACCCCATCTACCTCACTAACAATCTCCCCACTCTCCACCTCCCCTTATCTGATCTTCCCGGGTATGACGACAAACTATATCCAGAAGCAAGATTTCTGATTAGGAGGTTTTTGAGGAGCGTGGGACGACCTCTTAGTTACTGTTGTTCCCATCCTGACCCGAGGTGGTAGCACCTGTTAGGGGGCGCAGCTATGGGCAAATAGTTAACCCGCAAACTGGGAAAGTATAAGAATATAAAATAGTATAAAATTTATAGTAAAAATACCAGCAATATATTTTGTGAAAAATAAAATTACCTGTAATACATTTGAAACTTGGAAAAAAAAAACTATTTACAAAAATACGTCAATGAAACCTTCGAACTGATTGCATACAAAGAATACACATTATTTACATTATTGACATTTTCGGAACTGTTGTCTTCACTTTATTGCCATATTAACTACTTTTCGGCCATCATGAATATGGGAATAAATATCACAACAACAACGCTAATGATGTAAATAATTACAATGCCTCATCTCAGAAATATAGACAGATCCTGTAGAAAGCCGGAGCATACAACGGCCGAAACATCGTGAATATGGAAATAAAGACGAGAACAACAATCTGAATAATGTAAATATTTACAATACTTCATCTCAGAAATATAGACAGATCCTGAAGAGGGCCGGAGCGTACAACGGCCGAAACGTCGTGAATATGGAAATAATGACGAGAACAGTCTGAACAATGTAAATTATTACAATACTTCATCTCCGAAATATAGAGGGATCCCGAAGAAGGCCGGAGCGTACAACGGTAGAAATATCGTGAATATGAAAATAAAGATGCCGACAACAGGACAACACTTTCCGACCAGCCTTTACTTCTCTCTGGTCGTTAGCAGCTCCCTTCAAATTCTTATAGGAGTTGTTAACATATTAAGACCACAATATTTATTAACAAAAGCGGACAAAGACACCAACAGCTTACAAACAATAAGCATTAGCGACTTCAGTGCATCAAGTTCATTAAAATGGTTTAATTTCTATTCATTTCAATATGTATGGTGATTTTTCAAGCATGGTGTTTATGTGGAACAAGGCCGAAAGTATGGTGCACCCAGCGAGGATCGAACTCACTACTCATTGGCGACTGATGTTCGAAACAAGCTTGCTAACCATTGCACCACGTTGAGGAGATTTAATTGATTTTCTAAGCTTAGCTTAGGTGTGTCCCAAGGCCGAAAATAAAGGGCACCATTTGAGGATGTGAATTACTACTCAGTTGCTATTGATCTAGCGAAACAAGCTTGTTAACCATTACACAACGCCCGAGTGCGCCAAATGATTTTCTATGCTTCGCACAAGTGTGGCACGAGGCCAAATTATGGAGCGCCCATTGAGGATCTAACTCACTGCTCAATCGTAAGTGATCTAGCGAGCCAAGCTTGTTTAATATCATAACACGACGTGCTCCAAATAGTTTTCTAAGTAGTAGCTTAGGTGTGGCACAAGGTCGAAAGAATGGGGCACCCAGTGGAGAATATTACTCACTACTCAATCGCAATTGATTTAGCGAGACAAGCTTGGTAAACCTTATACCACGTCAGTGTACACTAAATAATTATCTAAGTGGTAGTTTAGATGAGCCCCAAGGCCGAATTATGGCGCCCACAGTGAGGATCGATTTTTCATTATTCAGATTAAAAAAATTGATCTAGCGAGAATTTCTTGTTAAACATTTAACACGTCGTGCTCTAAATAGTTTTCTAAGTGGTAGGTTAGATGTGGCACAAGGCCGAATGTATGAGCCCCCCCAGTGAGGATCGAACTCACACTCAGTCGCACTTGTTTTAGGGAAGCAAGCTTACTAACACCACGTCAAAATGCGCAACTATCGTTTTGTATGGCTCAATTTCTCCTTGACAGTCACTTTAATTATACGAGGTATGCTGTCTCTGAGAGTTAAGTACCAGTGGCTCAGACGTCGTTAATAGCGTCCACCAGAGCATTGGCATTGGCTCACTACTTGTGTCTAATTTATTCTTTATGTTATCCCACAAACTTTTTTATGAGACTCAGGTCATGGTTGTTAACGCAACATTCCAACATTATGTCGTTGACAATCATTGGTATTCATCTATTTTTATTGCTTTGTTGCATAGTGCACGATCATGTGTAAATATTATGTAGCCATGTATATGAACGTTAAACTCTAGATCATCCTGCAAGAGTTCCAGATAATTTTGACCATTCATGATTATTCTAGGGTCCAAGTACTGTAAACTAAGTGATCCCAACTGGGTAATTTTATTCCAAACGCATCTGACTGGGAGGCTCTTACAGAAGTTGTACGATATATTTGACAAGAGACTCTGTCTATATTTCTCAGATGAGGTATTATGTACATTATTTACATTATTCGGACTATTGTCCTAATCTTTGTCGCCATATTTATTACAACGTTTCGGCCTTTCCGTATGTTGTCTATTTCTGAGATGAGATATTATGTATATTATTTACATTATTCGGACTATTGTCCTCATCTTTGTCGCCATATTTATTACAACGTTTCGGCCTTTCAGTATCTGTCTATATTTCTGAGATGAGTAATTTTTATGTACATTATTTACATTATTCCGGACTATTGTCCTCATCTTTGTCGCCATATTTAATACAACGTTTCGGCCTAAGAAGTATCTGTCTATATTTCTGAGATGAGGTATTATTATATTATTTACATTATTCGGACTATTATTCTTCATCTTTTTCGCCATATTTATTACAACGTTTCGGCCTTTCAGTATCGAAATATTTCTGAATAGGTATTATTGTATTTTTATTTACATTATTCGGAAATATTGTCCTCATCTTTGTCGCCATATTTATCACATGGTTTCCATTTTAGCCGTTGTACGCTTCAAAATAAAAAGGTGAATTCCCTTTAATTTTTTGTTTTTCGCTCACTGGGGTAGACTGAAGATAGTTCCAAGTGCCATGTTTGATGGATAATCAGTTATCAGTTATCTCCTGTTAATTTCCCTTTGAAATTTCTCCACTGCCATCATATCAGAAATTTTTCGGGGACCTTTTCTGGCTTTAATGCTGACTGCAGAACAGTCCGCTGCAATCAGAGAACGTAACGGTTCGCGACTGTTTCTCTGTTCCATATTTATTCCTTTTTGGAGAACGGCAAACACTTCTCTTTCATTTCCACAGTCAATCTTGTTTTGCGAACAAATCTGCGAAATTTTCGTTTAAATCCGTTGGCCAATCTTCGAGAAACACTATTATGATACGTCTGCAACTCTAAAAATCAGAAAAACTCAATTTTGTTTCTTTTTCCTTCATTTTTTGATATGGAAATGTCAGAGGTCGTGAAACGATCGATTTTATGCGAAGGTCACGTTAGGAGATGTTTTTCTAGAAAGTTCCCTTTTATATTTTTTACTTTTTAATCGGTATTGCCCCATGCGAGGTAATAAAGCCACTAAGACACAAGGGGTTACAGCGTGTGGAAGAATTAGAAACAGAAACACCAATAATGAGCGGGAAGAGAAAAGAATAATCTGGAGGAGAGCAGATTGACACTGCATTTAAATTTTGGCAGATTATAGTTGGCTGGAAAGCATGAAGCCGGAAGAGAAGTCCACAAGTAAACTGTTTGCGTGGAACTTACGGCTGCATTTAGCCAGCTCAACTGTCAATTGATGAGATCTTTTCTGGCGCCAGTCTAGTACTGCGCTTAAATTCAAATGATCTGGGTACCATAATGAAGCGCTCATCCGAACAATTCCGATGAAATTATTGATAGAAAAAAAGAGGCAAACTTACCGAAAATGACTGAAGCCGGGTTCCTAGATCAGGACCAATAATGTTGCTGATTCTTCTTTGGAATTTATCAAGTAGCTCAAAGGTCAAAAAAAGGGGCACCAGACCATATGTGGCAAAAATATTCTAACATTATTGAATGGTATTTATAGATATGTATATCTATTGTCATATATATATTGTCATGATCAGGACCAATAATATTGTTGATTCTTTTTTGGATTTTATCAAGGTGCCCTAGTTAAATAGCAAGAGCACCGGCCCATATGTGGCAGCAATATTCTAAGCATGGACGAATGACAGACTTATAGATACGTAAGATAGATTCTGGGGAGAAAAATTATCCAGTATCATAGATTATCCGAACAATTACCATGAACGTATTTATAGAAAAGACACAGGGAGGCAACATAAAGACAGCAGTGAGAAAGTTTTACAGTTAAGCTGCTAAATCAGGACCAATAATATTTCTGATTCTTCTTTGGATTTTATCAAGGAACTCAGTGTAAATAGCAGGGGCACTCGGAAATTAAAGTAAAACCTCATCTACAAGGTATATGTCCCGAGGAGGAACTGTAAATCTGCCCTATTTTCACCAGCTGAGAAAAAATATATGGTCGATCTGTTGCCGAT